TCAACCTCCAGATAACACGAAGTAGGTAAAGAACCCATTCAGTCTATGGTTACCGTGCAATTCAATCCTTCTATCATACAATACTCCAATTGAATTACTAGGGTATTGAATTATTATTAGGGTATGGAATTACTGTCAAACCCCTAACTCAATCTTATATGTTCGATCTTAGGACTACGACTCTTAATGATCAATTAGAAACCCTTTTTTTAATTGTCATTCTACCTTAACTGATGACTCCTTGAGTCATTTACCAAGGGTGATAGATTAAATGTTATACACTCATAAATATCCATGATATCTAACTATGTCCAACAATATATATATCCAAGTTACATGATTAGTATATGAATATGTTATATAGTTAAAGTATAGAAGTCCATGTACAAGACATCCATGGTGTCTCAAGTCTAAAGATCAGCTGCATAACTATAACTTCAGGATTTAACATTGGTAGGTATGTAAAACTCCATATAAAAAATTCTGCGTTGGTCAATGGTCATGTCCAGTGTACTTGTTCTCTAACAAGCACTCACACACTTGCTTCAATGTCCCTACAGTAGTGACTTGGACAAGTCACCTCATATCAAATACAAATGAACATAGTGTGTGCTAATCTATCCGGATTACATACTGCCCACTTAGTAATCCTATGATTAGAAACTTTTAAGAGTTTAGTATTAAGAAGTATAGTCTCATTTTCTCAACTCCTTGAGAAATTATCTTCTTAACTTATACTCTATGGACTATATCATGTATATTAAAATGAAATTAGCCAATAACATGATAAATAAGCTTGCCCTTTTATTTAATTAAGTAATTAATGTTGCTAGTACAACCCCAAACATCATCTATATGATTAATCTTAGAGCATACTACTAACACTTAGAAGATACTCTATTGAGTGTGACTCACCCTTTATAGGGATACATTTTAGGTTTTGGATAGGCTCCAGCGGACGACCCTCACTTGGGCCCGTGTTGATGACCGAGCCAGGTTGTGGCTCATGAATTACATTTTGTAGTCCCTTGTACATTTCTATTTTGGTCTTGTATAAATTATGTACAAAACTTGTAGCTTGGACATTATTATTTTTGTAAACAAATGGATGTTGTGTGAGTTTGTATGGTTAAAAGTTGAAAATTGAGAAATTTGAAAAAATCTAGGACCTAGGTATCGATACCTCACAGGTACCTAGGCTCACAGGTATTGGTACCCCGATGAAAGTGGGCCCAAGTATCAGTACCAAGTCTTACAGGTACCGATACCTAGTTTCCAGAAGGCCCAGGTACCAGTACTCCTTATTAAAGGTACTGGTACCTTTTCCTGAAAATTAAATTTTGAATTACAACACTTCGGAGCCTTCATATCTTAAGCTCTTTTATTTGGATGGTGTAAATGGTTAAATTTTAAGTTCTAGACTTTGGGGGTTTGGACCTTGGAATGGTCATATGATTAATATGTGAACAGGTTATGTATTGGGTAGTGCTCCCGTACAAAAGAGACTATCCGGATTCTGTTATGTTATAATCCCGGTGAATGGGGTGCAACGACGTGGCATTGAGTTATACGGTACGCACAGGTATTCCTCTGCCTATGTCTTTTGGGAGTTCTTCCTCAATGCCTATGGGTTTATTCGACCTTCTTGTTGGTAGCATGAGATTCTTCTCTTGCTATAGTGTTTTCCTCCCTAGCCCTCTTTAATTCTTCTTTTAATGTCTCATTATCTTGCCTTAGAGCTTTCTCCTTGTTATAGGACCTTTTGAACATAGCATCATGTGCGTCCATTCGATCTTGGAGAGATCGGACTACTTTTGCAAGAGCGGAATTATCCCCCTTGGCACAAAGGGATTCATCCCGTTGAGGATTGTCTTGATTTAGGTTGTCATCGGGCTTGAAACTTGCCGATGACAACCTATCATCATTGTGATGTTGGTCCTAGCTTCCATACATGTCCTCCTGGATATCATAATTTAGGGAAAAGGATACTCTGTAATTTGGATCAGAATCCTGTTGAGTGCTAGGGCTCACCGGAGTCCCGATTGTGCTCTTTAGTCTATCATTGTTTTTTTGTTCTAGTGTTTCCCATAGATGGCGCTAATTGTTGGTGGTAAAAAGTGTTACCTCCTGCTTATGTAGCTTGATGATAGCTGATATGTGTATCTTGATCAATCTTCTCTTGCAAAAATGAACAAACTGCATAGGACCAAAGTGTTTCGATCGAAGACACTACAATGCTTAAGTCAATAATGGAGTAAGGCAAGAATATTTGCAGGAAATATTGTGCGTACCTTTCCCTATGCCTTTCTGGTCCTTTAGATAGGGCCATCCCCTCTTCTAGGGTTTTACCTCTTTGTAAGGTGGTACACCCCTTTTAATTGGTCTTCTGATTGACTCATTGCTACAATCTCCCTCACGCCCTAATTCGGTGATATTGATCACATTTCCCTTGATCATAGCAACTTGATCTCCTAAATCATAGGAACTTTCTTAGTTTGAGCTATATTTCAAATGAAGCTCAATCTCAGAAACTTCCCTAGATCTTTCGTTGCCGAGCTCATTTGGCTTAGCTCGGCAATATGTTCCCCGAAACCTCCCTTGTTCGTTCAATTGCGGCATTACTGCGTCTTTTCTTTGGGTGGAGGCCAATGCCATGTGCACCATCGTGGGCACGTGTGTAAATCATAGTCTGTACACGTGACATTGTTTTATGCCCCTTCAAAAAGCAATTAATATATTTTCTTCCTTAGAACATTAATCATTCAAATGACCCATGGAATTTTTTTTATAGAAAATTGATCATTTAATGGAATAAATTATGACTGACCTTCTGGAAGATCTGTTGTGAATGCATTCATAATGGGAGCATTATTTATGTCAAATGAGTTAACATTATAGCATTAAGCATATGGTTTAACATGAAAAAAATACGAGCATTTTCTTGTCACGTTCTATGAAATTTCGTGCAAGCTTATTCTACGGTCACCTCCAATATATTACTCATGTATTTCTTTCTTTGTAGAACATTTATTATGAATTAAAGTGAGTAATTATATAAGTGGGTCTCTCACTAATAATGGTTGGTGATCTACCAGGAAAAAAAAATTCAACGAGTATGGATCCAAAAATATATGCATTTTCCAATTTACTGTGCTCCCCCTCGCTCCACAAACTCAAGAATGTATGGGGCTTTTCCAATTAAAATCTGCCATGATTTCTTAATAAAACACTAATCGTAGTGACAGCTGCATACCTACCTAATTTTATATTTCTCAATGTTGGCTTTAGGCTCCGTGATTTCAATGAACTTGAAATCACTGAGCCCAAGCCAACATTGAGAAATATAAAGGAGAAAAAAATAAATTTAGTGACAGTTTAATTGTTGATATTTTGGAGTATCAATCAAGTCCTCAAACTTGCGACATTTTTCCATTCATTATTCATGTCTTTTTTTTTTTTTTTTGGTAAGTCATTCATTATTCATGTCAGTTCATCGTGCTGATTTTAAAATTCATGTTGGGCTCGTGCTAAAATTTCTTTTAACCCCTATCAATAATGAAACTAAACTATTTTCAATTTTAGTGGGGCCCTTTATTTTTTTTTTTTCTTTTTTTCCTTTTTAACTGGGGAGGGGAGGTGTTCATTCATCTTGTAAGAACCAACAACGACTACAATCACTCATGGATACGGAAACATTCATTTTAGCATGACCTCAACAGTCGCCTACCTTTATATTCAACGGATCGGATCCTTGAGTAGTTCTATCGGCTGATAATGCCGCCAGTGGGTTGCTCCCCATAACATTCAATTCAGATAAGCCTGTCCTTTTGAAGCTCGTATGGTATTGATTCATCAGCATCAATTTTTTCCCATTTCCTCAAGTGAAAATTTTACAAGAATTCTTTGTTTTTGCTTTTTGTTTTAAACAGAGAACAGGCATTGATAACTTNCATGAAAAAAATACGAGCATTTTCTTGTCACGTTCTATGAAATTTCGTGCAAGCTTATTCTACGGTCACCTCCAATATATTACTCATGTATTTCTTTCTTTGTAGAACATTTATTATGAATTAAAGTGAGTAATTATATAAGTGGGTCTCTCACTAATAATGGTTGGTGATCTACCAGAAAAAAAAAATTCAACGAGTATGGATCTAAAAATATATGCATTTTCCAATTTACTGTGCTCCCCCTCGCTCCACAAACTCAAGAATGTATGGGGGTTTTCCAATTAAAATCTGCCATGATTTCTTAATAAAACACTAGTCGTGGTGACAGCGGTATACCAACCTAATTTTATATTTCTCAATGTTGGCTTTAGGAGAAAAAAATAAATTTAGTGACAGTTTAATTGTTGATATTTTGGAGTATCAATCAAGTCCTCAAACTTGCGACATTTTTCCATTCATTATTCATTTTTTTTTTTTTTTTTTTGGTAAGTCATTCATTATTCATGTCAGTTCATCGTGCTGATTTTAAAATTCATGTTGGGCTCGTGCTAAAATTTCTTTTAACCCCTATCAATAATGAAACTAAACTATTTTCAATTTTAGTGGGGCCCTTTATTTTTTTTTTTTCTTTTTTTCCTTTTTAACTGGGGAGGGGAGGTGTTCATTCATCTTGTAAGAACCAACAACGACTACAATCACTCATGGATACGGAAACATTCATTTTAGCATGACCTCAACAGTCGCCTACCTTTATATTCAACGGATCGGATCCTTGAGTAGTTCTATCGGCTGATAATGCCGCCAGTGGGTTGCTCCCCATAACATTCAATTCAGATAAGCCTGTCCTTTTGAAGCTCGTATGGTATTGATTCATCAGCATCAATTTTTTCCCATTTCCTCAAGTGAAAATTTTACAAGAATTCTTTGTTTTTGCTTTTTGTTTTAAACAGAGAACAGGCATTGATAACTTCTTCTACACAATGTAAGGCCTTCTCAAGGCTTTGGACTATTGCAGCCTCTCCATAATATGCTCATCAGCAACATCAGTTCTTAGCATCTTTCGAAAATCTTGTAAAGTTTCTCCAACGAAGCAACCTAAAAAAAAGTGGAGTAAAACATCATTCTAACCACACGTACACAGCAATAAGGTCTGATGTCTATTATACATATGAATGATTGGACCTTTATCCAGTTAAAATATGAAAGCACTTCAAATGGAAAATCCCAAACCTAGAATACACAAACAGTGTTTTAGTTCTTTAATAACCAACAAAATACTATGACCTATATTACTATTTTTTTTAATGAACTATATTACTAGATACCTAAATATATACTGCATTGTTTTTCACGAGAATTGGACAAGCACCTGCACAAATGTTCCATTTGTAGCCATTGATGTTGGGGGCTTGAAGAAGAGTCTCATGGCTGAAAACAAAACATGTTGTATTGACCATTCGTGCTGGGCCCAAGCATTCTCGGCTTCCAAAAGCAATTCATGATCAATATTGTCCTCCATCAGACCATCCTCTGAAACAACAGCAAACTTTTGGTAGGGATCTATACAAAGTATCAAATGATAAAGAGCGATAAAAAGATTTTTCTGTGACTCACAAAATCTTCCTTTTTGACTTTATTTGAATGAAAGAAGCCTAAAAAATTTGCAAAGTAGCCAACCAAAATCAAGAAGACAATGAAGATTTATCATTAAAATCAGACAGATGAGTTGTTCTTTTATGCTAAATTAGTGAGCAAAGGGGAATTTGCATAACCCTGTAGTTGCTGTGCAAGTAAAGACCCTTCTAGGAACTCTGCGTGTTCAACAGCATGTTGAAGACAACACTTCCACAAATGCTAAACAGCAACATCTGTTAGACGCAGTGGTATCCTACTTTTAAAGTTTTGTTGACCAATTCAAATACTGGTATCAACTGGAAAACAAAAATTCTTCAATTCTACTCTCCCACCTTGGGAAAGCCAGTTGGTACGTATTTGTTAATAGAATGCAGGCTTCTGCTGCTGAATGGGCCACTAAAGAGATTATAAATATGCTTTATAAAATCTTTGCATACATTTTTAAAGATGGTCAAGATATTCTAACGAGGGCAAGGCGTGAATGAAAACTTCTCACTCACTAAATTATAATAACAGTCAAACATTTAGTTTGATTTATCACATAGTACATAATTTTGAGTATGCATGAGGATGTATGTCACGAAAACTCATTATACCTCTAAAAAAAGAGAGCTCTAAATTTTAGCCAAGTCAACATGTTGAGGGGTAAGAAACCTAGACCATGTCCATATTCAGGTAGCATAGCATTAACCTCAAAAAAATAAAACTAAAATTAAAAAATTAAAAAAATTCAAGTTACTGAACCATAAACACTAAACATATGTGATGTATTGGGAAGCCGGAGAGTCATACCTATGGTTTTTGAGGAATTTCCTTCATGATCATGACTGCTGGGCGGCGTCCTCCTCTTGTAAAATTGCAAACCATCACCTGATGGGTTGGGCAGCAAAGGAGGATGCATGGCGTAGAAATTTCCGAGAGCAGCAGCAATTGCTTGAAAGCAATTTTTCTCATCATCCCAATCAACCTACAATAATGAGCGAAAGTCAGCTTCTCCTTAAAATAATATACAAATCTCAGCCAAAACAAAGTCATTGTGAGGTTCAAGAGGAAGAGGCTTTGTGGCTTCCTCATTATCATCTAGGAGATTCACTACATTTCCAGAAAACTCAAAAGGATGGAATTTACAGCTGTCTAGAATCCGAAAACCTTGAAAAAGCAAAAGAAAACATTCCAAGTACCAAACAAGCATATATGATCTCTTCCGACTTGTTATTCCCCACAAAAAACACAAAAAGTCATAACACTCTTCCGTACCTGTTGGCCATATCAACCATGTCAGACACTTGTACTTTGAGACAACATCTCAGTATTTTTTTCCTTACGAATGAATAACAAATAACCCAATCACAAAAAACAGTGCAGACAGAGAAATAGAGAGAACCCGTCTCAATCATGCAAAGCACTTGTATGAGTCAGCATTCTGAGAGGAAGTTCTGATTTATTTTCTTTTTTCGGTTTTCTTAAAATAAGGTTTCAGTGATGTAAAATAGTGGGGAGCGAGAGAAGTCTACATGTGTGGATGTACATAACAATAGAAAACAGAAACCAGAAAGGAAGGAATCCAAGAACCCATGGAAGAGTGAATACTCCCAAAGCTTGCAGAATATGCCCAATGTAAAATCTTCCAAGCAGCAACTTCAAATGTGCAGCCTTTTTCGTTTTGTTTTAAGAAACCTTAAAAGATGAAGCTGTGTTTTCAAGCAACTACCCTTTTTCTCCCAAATGAAACAGTGTAAATGAGAAGTAGCACGCCATGACCTCAGCTTTACACTAATCCCCCAACCAATCCTCCAATGTAAAAGAGATCTAACAATAAAAAACAAGAATTGCAACATAGACACACACACAAGTTTTGAGAATGATGCTGAATTTCCCACACAGCCTTGCATTGAAAATGAATGTGAAAGGTCCAATAACTCTGACATTGCCAACAAAAATCTCAACAGTAATGTTATGGTTCTCCTTTTTCTAGTATTATTCATAATAACCTAGAAACTATAATTACTCCAAATATCTTTCTAGTATAGATAAGTAAGAGGGTGCAAAGGCAGCCTACATGTTCTCTTTCTCTCCTCTCTTTCTCTCTTGTTCCAAACCCTCATACTAATGTTACTGTTCTGCAAAGCAACGATCTGAGACAAGACACCTTCAAAAAGTTAGTAGGAGACCTCTGGATTTCAGATAATTCCTTGGATGATGTCATTGCCAGCGTGATGAAGTTAGCATGGTTGAGGAGTTTCCAATCATCGAAACCTACATCCAAGCTCAATTATTTCACTAATAATTATAATGATTTTTGTTTAAATTTTAAAATTCATTTGAATATCGTTACGCTATTTTCGAATGTTTTTCAAAATAATAGGACCAGTTTTTCAATTTCTTGATTTCGGCAAATATATGGTACGTTATTGCTTGTACTCTTGCATGAAGGGTGCAAGATGGCCAAACCTATTTGGTTGGTTTGCACATGATTTTAGTGCAAATATTATGCTCACCAACTGTTCGAGCATTTGTATTATGACCAACAACTATTCTAGTGTTGTTTTGCCCTGTTTTTTTTGTTTATATGTTGCGGTTCTTATTAAGGTATTCTTTTTGTACACTCCCAATTGCTTAGTGTGATTGTAAATTGCTTATTGTCGATAGACTATCAATCTATTTGTTCCTTGCTTGTCGTATAACTGGTTGTGAGTTTCTTGGTGGCAACTTCGGCGGATATCAAGGGTCCAATGGATGATCAAGTTAGACAGATCTATTAGGAAATTGATCTAATTGGAAAATTCTGTGAGTCACATATAATATATCTCAACAAAGTCCAAAAGGGCATGATGCTTATGAAGATGAAGACCAAAAACAAGCTGAGAAGAAGAACATCAAGCTACATTGCCACATTTGAATCAAACTTAGGGGAGGTAAGAGACCTTAGATACCTTAGTAAGCCTACATGTTTAGACCTAGGTTTTAATATGACCTTGGGAAGTTTGAATTGAATCCATAAAATGACTCTTGTTTTGTTATGGAAAAAGTTTTTGAAATTTGAAAAGATGATTTTGAGACATTATGAGTAATGGTATAAAGGCTTCTGGAGTAACACCCTTTGGTACTCAAATGGTGTTGTTTTGACTTGTTTTAGGCTTAAAACCTAGTAGAGACCACCCGATAGCCATGGTGGTCACTCGAGCGATCTCCTCACAATTGCCCATACTTGTATTCCTGTAGACACTACTCTATGACCGCTAACTCATAGCTCGAGCAGTGCGTCCCAAAATCTGAGTTTCTAGTTCCCTAATTAAACTCTATTTTTCACTCTAATATATATGGGACAGTATTTTTAGACCACTAGGGTTTCAAGAGAGCTAAAAAAAAAAAGAGAAAGAATGCTAAAGAGAAGAACCCAAGACTTCCCAAAACCAAATGGCCATCTCTATATAGATCAATCTAGAAGATGAGAAACAACCCTTGTCCACCTTTTGCACCTTTCTCCAAAGCCTTTCTTACTCATGACATCATCCACACAATTCCAATTTACCTGATCATAACCCTTCTCAAAATCCAGTTTAAACACCACTCCCTTTTTCCTTCTTCTCATAAAATATTCCACCACTTCATTTACCGGTAAAGCTGCATCTAAAATTTGTCTTCCTTTAACAAAGGCCCTTTGAGTCTTGGCTATTGTATCTCCCAATACCTCACTAAGTCTTCTAGGCTGCACTTTAGTGATAACTGTATACAAACTAGTCACTAAACTAATAGGCCTAAAGTCATTAAACTAATAGGCCTAAAATCCTTAACTTTAATTGAATGGTCTTTTTTGGGGACTAATGTAATGAAGGTAGAATTCAACCCAAGCAATATTGGACCCACACAATCCCTCAAACCATTACCTTTGCTGTCTGAAATTACCCATATGCCCCCAAACATTTTCATAATTTTTGTACTCACCCTCCCCCCAAAAAAAAGGTGCTGAAATTACAGTTTTCATACTCAAAAGGTTCTGAAAATATAGATTTGACCTTTGAAGGTTTTGAAATTACATATTTAACCCCTTGGGTTTTTGAAATTACAAATTTAACCTTTTAACAATTTGACCTTGTAATTCCTGAAATCATAGATTTAACAGTTTAGTCCCAAATTTGCAAATTTTTAGATCATTACTTCCATCAAGATGATTACCAATGTCAAACTAAGTGCTAGAATTAAAGCATAAGATTAGCAACTAGATTTGCTCCATGCATCCACAGATTCTCTCCAAGTATCAATCGCCTCAATAAAAGAAACAGTGGATATCTTAGCCTCGCTAAAGGCGACTATGGATTTCTTGGCAACCCCTGTCCAAGATCATAAGGGTAGAAGAGTTGAGAAAAACGTTGATAACGTTTCATTATCTTCAACCATTAATCATCCACAAGTATTTATACAAGCCTCTCTACCACAAACTCAAGTTTTGGAAGATCCCATATTTCTCAAAGTTAATAAGGGGGTTTAAGCTAGATTTTAGTGACTTCCATGGAGAAAATAATGACAAGATATTCCTTGATTTGTTACATAACCTTGAGAGCTTCTTATATTGGTATCATCTGACCGATAAGAGGAAACTATTCCTTGCAGAATCTAAACTAAAAGGTGTAGCAAGACTTTAGTGGGTAAAGTACCAAAAACTTGCTTTGATAAATCTTGGGATCAAGAATCAAAATTTCGTTTCGAAATAGTCGAGACATCCGAAACGTTTTCGTTTCTAAGGAGACTAAAACAAATCAGTGATAGAATCAAAATTTTAATATTTTAAGGTACTCCATTATATTTCAAGATGTTTTGTAATATTTCAATGCATTTGCACAATTGTTTCGAAATGTTTCAAGATACTTTAATATATTGCAACTAATGTTTTGAAAAAATAATTCCTAAATTTTTTATTTTTTTTATTATATTTTCGAAACGGGTCGAAATGTTTTCAAAATACGTCAAAATATTTTTATTTCTTTGGTGATTGAAACAATACACCAAAACGAAATTTTGATCCTTATCTGGGATGACATGAAGACTGTTTTAACTCTCCACTTTTTGCCTGCTAATTATAAACAACGAACTCATTTACAGTTTACATAGTTGAATAAGGGAAACATGTCTATTGATGAGTATACGGGAAAATTCTACAACTTGGTCACTCGATCAAAGTTTTCTTTTATTGTATTGCCTTTTTCTTGGTCAATGTTGTGACAAACTCTCACCCCACTAGGTCAAGTTTGTCTTTCTAAGATATTGTCTTACTCAAAAAGATATCTATGTTATGACTTTGTTTTCTGACGATACTATGTCCTTGTTCGAGTCAACTTCTTTGTTTTCAGTATCTGAACATAACTTTTTTTTAGATTTAGTGTCTCCTTAGTCCTTGTGCACTCTTTCAAGGGTGGCTGCTTCTAGGCAAATCTCGTGACTGTCTTTGCACCCCTACCTCCTTTATCACTGAACAGTAAGAGGAGCTCTTGTTTCCTATTATACCGAACTACATGTCTTCTTCCTCTTTGATTTCTACCAATCTAGTGTAGGGTTACCATCATTCCAAGGACAAATAGATTTGTTCCATATGCCCCATCTCCATAATTAATGCTTGATTCAGCTGTTGTCCAACTCCATAACCACCGCCTGATTCAGCTGATCACCACCAAGGGGGGCGGCAGTATGAGAGTTACAATTTAATAGGAGGGAAGAAAAAGAACAAGGACAAAAAAGAATTTATGAGATGTAAACCCTAGAGATTTGTAGTGCTCCGATACATTGTAATGTTCAGAGAATTAGGACAAAAGAATTTTGAACACTTCATGAGAGTTAGAAAAGAAATTGTTGCCCTATCTCTCAACCTTGATTCATATATATGTGTATCAAAAAGAATAAAAAGGGATAAGAATACCACTAAATGGTATACCTTCTACAAAGACAAATAAGATACCATACTATACTACTTAACACCCCTTTTAGTTAATGGCATAGGGCCAGCATGGTTACATTTCGCCATAGGAAGCCATAGTAATAATAAAAAATGTGCTAAACTATTAGCAGTGTAAACACATTGGCAATTAAGAAATTATAGCCTTCTAAATATAAACTAGTCAATCCATGAGTATACCATGAAGTCACAAATGTTTTACCTCCGAACCAACCCCCAAAAGCAAAATAGGCACAAGAAGAGAGAAATAAACTGGACCAGCCTAGAAAAACGAAAGTCCCTCCATAACCATTCATCCATAATATTGAATAAATCATTTTTCTTTGACTATTTCTGAGCACCTCATAGTATTTTTAAGGGGTCCAAATAGTCAATCATTTCTATATGATTTCTCGTGCATTGCCCCTTCTAATGGTTTTGAATATGAAAATCCTTTATTGGCCCATAAACTGACCGAGGTAAATCCATGAACTCAATTTGATTATTCCTTCTTATTTTTACTAAGAATTTGAACCATGAATGTACTTATGACTCATCAATCAAATGGATGAATTTTTTGTAAGAACTACAAGTGATCCTCTCTCTCGCTACTAGTTGATCCTCAAACCTATCTTTATTCCATCAACTAATCTTATTCTTAGATCTTTTTCATGAGATTGAGAAAAATAAATATCTTTTCAGCTTTTTTGTTCTACAAAGAACTCTTATATGCAAAAGTCACGCCTGACCATTCACTCACACATGACAAGCTAGAATTTCCAATTACAGAGTCAATCCTCAAATGGTTGTTATTTCCCTTTTCATTTTCCTTTAGAATATTTTGGGTTATACTTTTTGTAAGGCATATGCCATGATGCGTACACTATCGACAAGTAATGCTGAAAACTTGTCGCCTTTTAGTTCATTACTGTATGATTTTTTTTTTTTTTTTGACCGGAAACAAATCACTTTTATTAATGAATAAGTTGTAAATCAAATAAGAAAAAATTGGATAAGATATCCAACTAGAAGCAAACAAGTAAAAGCAGTGAATTAAAAAAGCCTATAGATCACATGAAGCTCTCCATCTCGATAGAATAGCAAATAGCAGAATCCCATTGAACTCCTTTGAAACTGAAGCCCAAAAAGATGCCAAGAAATTAATACGGTTCCACATTCCTTCTACAAATTCTCGCCAGTCTTCAAGAATTCTAGAATTCCATTCTTTCCAAATCACTATATGATTTAGTAGCATCAGTATTCTTGAAGCCTTCTTTTCATCAATAAAGAAGAAAGAAGAAGGATAAGAGGTAGGTAGATGGAAGTTGCAGCAAAAGAACAGAGTTGTAGGCTACTCTTCTTCACAACACTAGACATTACCATTTTGATAAGAAGCATATGGTGGTGGTCGTTGCTAATTTGACTACCATATTTTACCTGGGGCTTATGGATGCTTTGTTTCTAAATATCTCTCTTTTCTGAGGCTGAGGCTGAAACTGAGCCTGTACACGACTTATACAGGGGTTCTGCTTCAGTCTGGTGCTTATAGTAACGTTGTTTATGCATTCCCTCCTCTCGATGTCGTATGTACAGAGGCAAGAAATTTTAACACCATAATAAAGCAACAAGCTGAATTAATCACCTTCATTTTTATAGGCCATACCGACTTAGCAAAACCACCGTCAAACCTTTTTTTTCTAAATTCTCAAGATCCCAGTGGTTCAAAGAGAGTTATCTGGTTTTTGGGCACTTTAAGCTTTCCTTCGGTTACCATAACTCGACTAAGCAATATTATAGGTCTCATTTAAGGTGAGTAAAATATGGCATAATCATTAGGGTGCTTATTTGGATGCACATCGCACATCTATATTAGAAGTCACACAAAGAATAGAGAGCCCAATCAACCCAATCCATCGGAAGAAGCTACTGGAACAGCAGGGTTAGGAACAAAAAAGAATAAAATGACATCAACAACCCAAAAGACCTCTACAATCAGCCCAAAACACATCCAAGATCCATCACAACAATTGTTTTTCTCTTACATGATGAATCAACTCAAATTCCTGAAAACACACCTAGTGATGATATAAGTATCTGATGATGCTAGAACTAGATCAAAGCTACCCATTTTAATCTTAATTATGACTCATTTTTAAAAACTTTGATACCAAGATAGTACTATTTGCACATCAAAGCAAAAATAAGAAAGAGGGAAATGAGAAAGGAAGAACTACTAAAGGGCTCAAGAAAAAATGCTGGATTTAGAATAGCAGCAGTTAGTATCAATCAATAAGAGAAAATATATGAGCATGTTTATGTGTCTCTAAGGTAACTCTATTTTAAGAATCATCTGAAATATGAAGAACATAACATTACAAGCCGAAATGAGAGAGATTTCATAAAACAGAAGATAAAACTTACATCGTTGCCCAAACAAAGCACAAACTCCGGGACACGGTCCATGTCAGGTGTGTACTGGTCAAGTATGACAGGTAGCCTGCATAAATTACCATGTGCATCAACATGAATGCAGAAGTACTCTTCTAGCATTTCAGCCTTTTGCTTGAGCAACTCTGTATTCATCTGAAGAAAGCAAAAGAAAAACCTTTGTTTGTATTAAAACAAAGAAAAAATGTTCACAACAAGAAGAAAAGGCTGGCAATTAGATAAAAATACACATAAAACATCACCATGCAAAAAATTAATTTTAATGAATACAGTACTTGTTTGGTATCAGTGTTACCCCTAAACCCACAGATGCAAAAGTACCAATCATCACTATCCAAACTAAAAATCATGACTGGTCATCTAAAGTGATAGTTGAATTATGATGTAATTAGGGTTTATGAGAAGGAAAGGAGAAGAAGAGGAGAATAGAAGAAGTTGTGCAAATAGACTAGTGTGTTAGGTTACACAACTACACCCAACTTTTATATATAATCACAAAGTACAAAACTACCCATAGTCTAGAAATAAAACATGACACTCTCCCTCAAGTTGGTGCATAAATATCCCTCATGCCCAATTTGAAAATAATGAGATGAAAAACTTTCCTACTAAGATCATTTGTGAAAATATCAACTAACTGATTGTTTTATTTCACAAAAAGGCATGCAAATCAAACCCTTACTTAACTTCTTTTTGATGAAGTATCGAACAATTTCAACATGTTTGGTCCTGCCATGTTGAACCGGATTATGAGCAATGTTAATAACAATCTTGTTGTCACAATATAATCTCATAGGTTCATTACCATGAATTCTCAGTAGTGTTTGGAGGCGATTGCAGCAATGTAGAATATAAAAAAGCAACTATAATGTGGAACAAGATAGTAGAAGTGTAGAACATATTAAAAAAATAGCTATTGAGGTTATTGGAGAATCAAGAGGTAATGGACCATTGACAAAAAAAACTTGGTGGTGGAATGATGAAGTCCAGATTGCAGTAAACGCAAAAAGAGTGCTATACAACATGACAAAAAACTAAAAATAAAAAAGACTTTAAAAGTTACAAACTTGCATATAAAGAAGTAAAAAAGAAGGAAAAAGATGTTAAGTACAAAACATATGATACTCTTTACTCTAAACTAGATACAAAAAAAGGGGAGTGAAGTACATATTAATTTGCTAAATTAAGAGAAAGAAAAACTAGAAATGCTAATTATATTAAATGTATTGAGACTTACGAGTGAATAATCTAGGGTTTTGGTACAAAACAAGGAAATTAAATAAAGGTGAAAGTAAAGATCAAATTTTCGTTTTGGTGTATTGTTTCAGTCACCGAAGAAACGAAAATGTTTTGACGTATTTCAAAAATATTTTGACCTATTTCAAAAACAAAATGAAAAAAAAATAATAAAAATTATTTAATAAAAACTTTGGTCAAAATATCTGAAAATACCTTGAAACATTCCGAAACAATTATGCAAATGGAATGAAATATAATAAAACNGCGAGTCTACTCCAAGATAGATCAACGCACGAGTTATCATTAGTTGAGAATTAGGGAGGTAGATATCCCTAAAACAGCATTTAAAACGTGGTATGGGCATTTCGAGTTTACAATTATAACTTTTGGTTTGATGAATGCCCTTGTAGCAGTCATAGATCTCATGCATAGGGTATTCCAACCCTATCTAAATCAGTTTGTCGTGGTCTTTATTGATGACATTTTGATCTACTCCAAGTCTGAGGAGAATCATGAGGGTCACTTGAGGTTTGTTCTCCAGACCTTAAGGGAACATCAGTTATATGTCAAGTTCAGCAAGTGTGAATTTTAGCTTATGAAGATGAAATTTTTGGGACATGTAGTGTCAACTTCAAGTGTGTCATTTGACTTGGAGAAGGTTAAGGCAGTTATAAGTTGGGATAGCTCGAAGTCAGTTTTTGAGATACGCAGTTTCTTGGGATTGACGGGATATTATAAGAGGTTCATTGAGAATTTCTCCTGACTGGCTGCACCTATGACAAGATTGACCCAGAGGGAAGTCAAGTTTCAGTGGGATGACTCATATGAGAAGGCATTCCAAGAGTTAAAGAGGAGGCTTACTTCAGCTCTTATTTTGATAGTCTTGGAGAGAGGACAAAGGTACACAGTGTATTGTGATACCTCCAAGGACAAACTTGGTTGTGTATTGATGCATTCTGGGATGGTGGTGACTTATAGTTCTCAACAGTTAAAGAAACTACAAGTATAATTATCCTATNTTTCGAGTTTACAATTATAACTTTTGGTTTTATGAATGCCCTTGTAGCAGTCATAGATCTCATGCATAGGGTATTCCAACCCTATCTAAATCAGTTTGTCGTGGTATTTATTGATGACATTTTGATCTACTCCAAGTCTAAGGAGAATCATGAGGGTCACTTGAGGTTTGTTCTCCAGACCTTAAGGGAACATCAGTTATATGTCAAGTTCAGCAAGTGTGAATTTTAGCTTACGAAGGTGAAATTTTTGGGACATGTAGTGTCAACTTCAAGTGTGTCATTTGACTTGGAGAAGGTTAAGGCAGTTATAAGTTGGGATAGCTCGAAGTCAGTTTTTGAGATACGCAGTTTCTTGGGATTGACGGGATATTATAAGAGGTTCATTGAGAATTTCTCCTGACTGGCTGCACCTATGACAAGATTGACCCAGAGGGAAGTCAAGTTTCAGTGGGATGACTCATATGAGAAGGCATTCTAAGAGTTAAAGAGGAGGCTTACTTCAGCTCTTATTTTGATAGTCTTGGAGAGAGGACAAAGGTACACAGTGTATTGTGATACCTCCAAGGACAAACTTGGTTGTGTATTGATGCATTCTGGGATGGTGGTGACTTATAGTTCTCAGCAGTTAAAGAAACTACAAGTATAATTATCCTATGCACGATATGGAGTTGGCGACATTAAATGTGTTGAGGGAGCCGGTGAAGACTTGGGTTGAAGTGCATAAGTGAGTCTCATCTCATTTCATGGCATGACATGTAATTTCCAACATTGAATTACATATTCTTGCTTGGAATTTTTGTTGCTTGTTGAATTCTGCAGGTGAACATTTCATATACATCTAGGTTGGGGAATAGCCTCTTTAGGAGATACCCTATTTAGCGTGACTCACCCTTTATGGAAAAATATTTTAGGTGTGAGGTTTACACCGATGGAAGACTCTCATTTGGGCCCTCAACGATGAAGAAAAACTGACATGTGGCTTTTAAATTATTACTTTTGTAAAACTTCATGTAAATTCGTTTTGGACAAGTAATTGTATGAAATGGATTTTAATCGAACTTGTTTTAACTATGTTTAATGCAAAATTACATCTTATATGAGTTTGGTATGATGTTGTATAAGTTTTGAATGGATTGAATTGAAAAAAAAAAAGGAATTGTAGATTTTCAAGCAAAAACCACACATATTTTTTGTTGGCGTTGAACGCCACTTGACGTTCGAACGTAGAAAGCTTACAGTACTTAAGGCTCTGCAGAGAACCAAAGTACTAGGAGCAACCTTAGTTCGAATGCCACTTTTATGTTCGAACTCCACTTTTATGTGCGAACGTAAGGAGTTTACAGTACTTATGCATCTCTGCTAAGAACTAAAGTACTGGGAACAACCTTCGTTCGAACGTCAGTCCACATTCAAACGAACCTTTTAAAAGCAAAAAAAAATATTTTTGCTATGCTATTAGGCTTTAAATCCTTTTATTTAAATGATGTAAATGGACAATAATTGGGTATGAATTGTTGTTTATTGGACCTCGGATGGGTCATAGGAGTGAAATGTACACAGGTTATGCGTTTGGGAGTTCTCGTCGCAATGAAGACTCGGCCCAAAAACTTTGTTGTTATGATCCCAGTGAAGGAGATGTTGTACCATGGTGTCGAGTTATGCGGCATTCACGAGTATTTTTTGCAGGTTGATAGGTGATCAACGATTAATAAAGGACCTCCAGTTTTAGGGGTGTCACAGGTAAACACCACCCTTTTTGACTATCGAGGACTTCAAATGGTTGGGATGAAAAAGGTTGAATTAGGTCGTATGTTACAAATGATAGGGAAAAATATAAGTGATAATTGTATTATGCATAAAATAATAGAGACCCTTCCCACAACTTAAAATTCTGTAATGGAAAATTTTTTTTTAGACGACAAACCAACCAATGCAGTACGGTTTGTACAATTATTGGTGGAAGCGAAATGCGATATCTATCCATTATAGATACAATTTGAGCAAAAAAAAATGGGTCCAGAGATGAATGTTCTAGATCATATAAAAAAGAAATAATAGTTATTTTATAAACTGCAACAAGAAGATTTTATGCCGAATAATCCAATTATGTTATATGTTGTTGTTAACATGCTTCCATCTATGTGGCCAATTGACGAAATCAATAAGAAGTTTGAGAATGACTTCGTAGATATGATAGAATTAGAGGAGACATTGGCAGATATCGAAGATGACATACTCTGTTCACGAGCATTATAAGACGTGGAGGCTCAAACTGAACTACTATGAACAAGATCTCCACAGATGAAGTAATATTTTTTAGGTAAACATTATTTCTCTATGTTTTTATTATTTGAATGTGGATAAAAGAAAAAATGTATATTTTTAGAGAATAAATAAACACCTAACTATAATTTTTTTTTTTTCAAGTCGTATCTTTTGGAAGTCGGTTGAATTTCTGATAGTTATATTTGGTCATTTGACAATATCTGCAGACTTAGTTTATTTGTGGGAGTATTGTTTTAATTTTCATTCTATTAGTTATGAATTTTGTTATTATTTAGATAAAGTTGATTATGAATATAGAAATCATAGATTTTGAATAAAAAACAGAACATTAAATATTGTCAACTGATATATTTTTTCAGATATTTGAATTATTATGTTTCG